CGGTTTCAAATCAATTTAATTAGCTGGTTTAATGAATTTCCAATTTCTTAAGGCGGTGAACTCTAATTTTAATGACACTGTTACTATTTTGACCGTTAATCAGGTATCAGTTGAAGATGATTAGATTTGATTTTGGAAATGTATCTGCAATTTTGCATTTTAAATGGAACCTCTGAATCTTTTACATATTTGGAATATTTTCGGTTTAACATACTATTTCGAATCTCAATTGTTTGGAGTTGACTTTCACAAAAGTCAGACTCATTTTGATTAACCCCGCATATTTGAAACAAATTTCAGTGCATGAGAATACACTGAATATATTTGTTTGTATAGACATGTTTAGACATCTAAAACATAACAACTTATTATATTTTTTCTTATAATCCATGACACCCGGTATCCGTGTGACTGTCCCAACACAATCAGTTTTTTGAATGTTCGATTTTGTAATTCTGGCTCCATTTTCAAGTGTAGAATAGAGGTGTGAAAATCAGTCATTTCTGATGCTCAGGCGAGATGCTGATTAGGACTGGGTAACACTGTGTTGAGTTGCGCTTTCGAGTTGTTGCCACTCTCTGAGTTAATGAGTTATGACTTATCGGTGAATGAGTCATGGCTCATTTATTAAAGCGGATTAAAGCTGTACGAAACCCTAGACTGGAATTTTACAATTCGGATTATCGTTTTTACAGCAACGGAACTGAGTTACTGAGTACCAAGCCATTTGCACTGCTCCAACACCTAAAAATTCACTGAGTTAGCTTTTCTGTCTAAACGATTGCTTAAAAATTCAGTTTTTCTGGTTTTTGGTCTAAAACGAGAAAAACCGGAAATGTTGAAGAAACTTTAAAATTCTTCAGAGCAATGAAGATTTCAATGAGTTTTCCATAATAGTTGATCATATGTCCTTGCTTTCTCTGATCGTTTTTTTGGAAAACTTATTTTTTTGAGAAAAAAAAACAAGATAACTTTGTTTGGATTGTGACCCAAACTCAAAGGAAAAATGGATATTCGAAAAAGACACCAAATGAATGAAAAGAAGACCAAACTATAAATACGCTCAGTTTTTGATTCAAAGACCCTCAATTTGCCACAGTTCAGAAAGAGTTTTCTTTAGAAATGTTGACCTAAAAGTGAAGAAACCGGAATTAAAAATAACTAAATTATTCACAGCGACGAATTTTCCAAATAATTGATTATAAAGTTTCGCTTGTTCTGTTCGAAAAAATATTTTTGCGAAAAAACCCAGAAAGAATTATTAGAGTTTTGTACAAAAGTTTTAAAAAAATGTTCACAAAGCGGTTAAAGAGGGGAGTGTTCCAATTGAATATATTTGATAATATTTTACAGAAAATACCTGAATATTGTCAGTGTTTGAGTGTTGAGCAAGAAAAACTTTGCTAAAACTGAAAATACCTGAACTTCTGGAATTCTTAAGAGCGATGAGGGTAGCGAATTTTCCAAACAATTTTTTGTAAACTTTTGCTCGCTGGTCGTTTTTTCAAGATAATCTTAATTACTTCGGGAAAAAAGGAAATAAAACTATTTGGTTTTTGCGCCAAATTCGAAGCTCAAAAGGGGTTTCTACAAATCTCCTACAAAGCGGTGCATGAGGCCAATTTTCTAACAAAATTAGTTATGTCGTTTTTGGCTGAAAATACCACATGGGTGCCGGAAAAGAAGAAAAGCATTAGAAAATAATGGATTTCCTGCGCTTTCGATAGAAAACTTTTAGTTTTGTGATCGGTTTTTCAGAAAACTTTAATAATTTTCCGGAAAAAATGGAAAAATCTATTTTTGTTTTTGTTCCGAATTCGACGTCGAAAAAGGTTTTTGTAAATTTCCTTCAGCTACAAATTTATTTTGTAATTTTTCGCCTAAAATACCTCCAGATTCGCAGTATTTTTAAGTGAAACTCTATAAAATAGAGCGTTTTTGAGTATAAAGTAAAGCAAAAAAAATTCAATCAAAACTAAGAATCCACAATTTTTAAACCGACCCTACAGTCTTCAGAGGTATGGTAGTGATGAGTTTTTATAAACTCTCTGTTATATTCTGTATGTATTTATTCTGTTCGCTTTTCAATAAAAAATTATTTGATTTTTTTCTTAAATTTGAAGCTGCAAAATATTTCAATACTTTTTAAGAAACGACGAAGGAGGCGAATGTTGTAATAAAATGTATTTTAAAATTGTTCGCGGAAAATATCCTTAAATTGTCAGTATTTTTTCGGAAAACGTTAGAAAAATGAGCGATTAGAAGAAACAGCTACTTTGCTTGAAACTGGAAAATTCTGAAATAAAAAAAAAATTCAAATATTGTTAATAAATGGCCCTTAAAAGCACCAGCTCGTTTTTAGAGATTTTAATATTTATTAATTTCTCGACATGTAGCACTCGTTTTTGTGCCAATGTTTCAACTATATTTTAGCCATCGTCAGCCTTTATCCATTAATAAACCATTTTATTAAGTAGTTCCTTCTCTTACAATATGCGAAAGGCAAGATAAATAGTGAAAAACAAGCACTGATAAATAAACTTGTGCCACTTTCAGTTGGTTTATTGTAAAAATGTAGATGAAAGATTTACTTAGGTAATAAAATACTATATTTTTCATTATATTTTTAAATATGAAGTCAATCTTTGAGCGAAAAAGTTGTCGAGAAAAGCAATAATCTATTTTCATCTGTATATTTATTAGCGTTGATGATTTTGATTTTTTTCACATAATTAATACATATTTAATTAATTGCTTAGAGTGTACGCAATTGGTTACATCTTTTTTACTGATTTCAGAGGCTCAAAAATTGAGCAATGGAATATTTTACAACCTCTAGGGTTTCGCTTTGATATGATTTTGGCAAGAAGGCTTGATAATTTCGCCTGATTAAGGTTCGTTAATAACATTTTTAAGGCTTCCTCTATTTAAATTTTTTCTTTCTAACTATGTATAACTAAAATGTAAAAAAATTGAATACCTTCACAGTAGGTTTTAAGTACAAATGTAAATATCTTCTTTAACGTTCACTAAATTAAATTGGAAACGAATTATTAATACGGTAATCAAAGTAAAGAATAGTGATATTTAATTAATAACTTCTAACGAATATTGAAAAGTAACAACAATCGACATGTTTATAGGACAATACAAATAAGGCAGATAATAAAAGCGTTATGTTTTTTCATCTCTTACAGTTATATGCTTTTCCGTTTACGGTTTTTAACTTGATTTTTAAACTATGCTATGGTTGTTATCTGTATGCAAGCATTGAATATATGCCCTGCTTTTATTCAAAGCGCTACCAAGAATCGCTGCATGGTTTATTTTGGATAAAGTTTATATTTCATGTAGGGAATTACGCGAATTGCAATTTAAGTCGTTCTTGTCAATAATATTTATTTTATTTGTCCTGATTTTATGCATGCATCTCGGGCTTGGTGCCATGGCCATCGCACAAGACCGTCGTCTCTATAGCGTGCATGCACAGGTCAACCAGACTGTTGGAATAGAGACTTATATGGCTGTGGGTCAATGCCAAAAAGAATTAATGCGTAATCGGCGAGAATAACAAACTACCTATTACTCGATGATAATAAAAATAGCATGTCCAACTATATCAACAACATTTTCGATTTTTATAATATATTTTCATTTTTTATATTAAATCATTATTCTTTTATGTGCAGAAGGTAAAATCAAAATAATTTTACAAAATTATATCTTGTCTCTATCTCTTCAGCCTGTGTCCCATGCATCCGTTTATACGATGGTACGATGATACGAAAGTGTTTCTATTGGTTGGAGATCTGTCAATTCGTCCGCCGTCGTACGAACTGACAGATCTCCAACCAATAGAAACACTTTCGTATCATCGTACCATCGTATAAACGGACGCATGGGACACGGGCTTTAATCTGAAAGTCGAATTTACATGTGGCGTGAGAGACAAAGTTCCATTGCAGGCAAAAACAGTTGCGACAGCCCAAATCACCGAACTATGAGCTGATGTGAATTCGACAAGTCAGTCGGTGATTTATGACCGAAAATTGTGGATAATTATAGCGAGCACTTGAAGCGCTTGCGAAATATCGGCCACTGATTGCCTGAAAGTGGATTGGACGAATAGGTCAAGTGCTGAAGACAAAATAGTCGCGACTTTTTGCTTCGACTCCTGAATCGGCAACGAACCCGTTTTAATCAAACAGTATGCGATTATACCAGTGGAGAAATTCATTATAGCGATAATTAAAACCGCCTAAAAACAATGACTGGGAATCCGCAACTAGGCAGGCATTGTTTGCGCGCATTTTGCAACATTTATATACGAAACGTGAGAACTGAGTGGCACAGTTACATGCAAGGGATTAAGGACGTGGCTAGGTTTGGCTTGGGTAATCGGGTTGAGCAAGGTTTCCTTGAAATCGATATTATCGAGCTGCGAGAGGACCACTTGGCCGATTGAATGGCTTTCTTAATGCAACCCGGATAAGGAGAAATGAAAATTATCGCATACATGCGTGCAAAAGAGCGGTTACACGCGACTGGTGCAACAACCGGTGCACTTTCCGCAATTCAAATCCACCAGATATTACGTTTATCGTGTTCTTCATACAAACCATCCAGGGCTGGAGAGAACTGGGCAATTTGCTAGTGAAATCGAACAATACCCGATCAGTTTTCACATCTTGAAATGTTTTTCGGGCTTTGAAGCCGTGGTCCATGGGCATTTCTTGCTGACGTTTCGTCCACAACTGCGGTGGACATTATCAAAGGCGATGAGGCAGTGGGCGAAGTGATCTCCCGTGCTTTGCCGACTAAGACGGAACTAAGACGTTGTGGACGAAACGTCAGCAAGAAATGTCCATGGACCACGGCTTCAAAGCCCGAAAAACATTTCTACATACCAGATCGTTTAGCTGCAGTTAATCTTCAAACACCTTTTACCGCGCCAATAGGTCAGGGATTCCTTTACAAACGAGACCAGCACCCAGCAGATTCTCTTCATTGTTCTTCGGTTTGGTACAATCGCTTGCATCACATCACGAGCGCATCCTTTTACGGGCAAAACTAAATCGGCGTTGGTGCGGGGAGTCGCCGTCCATCTCAAGCGTTTGGATAACAACAGAGGCAGCCCCGTTGCCACGGAAACCAGCCAGAGGGCAAGCTGATCTGCACCATCGGAGCCACATTAAAAGAAAGTGAACAACAAACGCAGACGAGAAACCAATTTTGTAGGTAATTGGTTCAAAGTTAATTGGCGACATTCGAATAGAAAAGCCGTTAGCAAAAATATGGTCGACCATTGGTATGGATGAAGGTTGGGATTCGGCTGCACACGGCGACGAAACAAGCGGAAAAAAAGAAAAAGTTCGGTTGCAACCGGCCTTGGCTTCACGTTCAGCGTATTTACTACCACGTGAGCAAACTGTATCAGATAAAGCAGATAAGTTTATAAGATTTTTTTGTGAAAGTACCGCAGCGGAACCGCCTTGTTTATGTCTTTATGTTGGTCGTTACGACGAATACTCGAGCTTTCCTCATTCAGCGTCCACCGCTGGCTGGCTGGACCACATTAATGCCTAATTTAAGCAGTTCCGATTTCTTGCCATTAGAAAGGACATTCAATTTGCTGATTTGAATGTCGGTTGCTTCTTGGCTCGTGTTGGTTTACGGGTTTTTATGGAACTTTTGCTTAAATTCAGCATTAAGGACTCTCTAACGCGTTTGCAGTGTCGAGGACTTCGGACACGACACTGGTTTTGACGCAAAAACACTCTTAACTAGTCGATTGATCAGTTTTTGGCCAAAAATAATTGTCGTGCCCGAAGGGAACGCAATAGACAGTGTTTTGGACGCCACTGGTTTGGGCGCAGTAACACTAAAAACTTCCGAATTGATCAGTTTTTGAACAGAAATCAGTCTTGCGCCTGCAAGGCTTTGCACAACTTCCACATGAAACAGGTGGTGCCTGTTTTTTTAAGCTTCAGATCTTTAAAAAGTTCACTTAAGTCGTTTGCCGTTGGGCCATTAAACTGCCGGAAAAACTTGTCTGTAAATCAGAACGTCGATGTGCCTATGCGCTTTGCTTATGGGCGGATGATTAAACCACCACCATCGACATACTTGACGACCGCGAATTTTCGCAACAAATAGCGCAAATCGAACAGGGAAAAACCTCTAATTGAGGTATTTGCTTCGAAACTGCACCCAGCGAGTGCAAGCCGCGCTAATTAATCGTCCTCCTCTCGCAGTGCTTCGCTCAGCCTTTGCAACACCTTTAATTTCACTCAGACAGGCCCATGAAATGAATGATCCGACGCTCTGTCCAAAGTAACGGAACGAATCGGTTGATATGCATCGTGGCTTGATTGATAGATAGATAATTAAAGCGGAAAAACTGAAAAAAAATTAACATGTGACAGCCATTGCGAGATGATGGCCAAGTGGAAATGAACGGTTAAAGCCATACAAGGAAATGTGGAATGTTGTTGAATTTTGAATGAAATCGTAATTATTTGAGTTTACTAATTGGTCGATGGTGTTTTCAGGAATGTGCTCCCAAGCTGCTTGATTGCCGCCCACTTTGAATCCGCGCAAACCATGTGAATTGAACCGGGCTGCGGAAGAAGACCGGTGAAAATGGCGCTAAAACTGCGAAAAGACATAAAAAAATCCTCGTATTATGTGTGGTTTTTGGGGGCGAAAGAATCCAAGGGACTCAGGGGGTCCGAGTATATTGTGCCAGTCATTCGGCACTTGGAGGAGCGCGAAAAGGACGTGGAACCTTTCAAAGTCACCTTGCAGGTGAGTGGACATTCTTGAATTTTCCCGAATCCCTGCTGACTAATGCGTTTCTTCAGGTGTCGCACAAAGGGCTGAAAATCATCCAAAACATCGTGTCGCAAGGGCAGAAGAGCTCGAAGCCGAAGAACGAGACCATCAAACACTTTATTCCCCACAACACTATCACATACGTCTACCAGCATGAGGACATAATCTCCTGCATCCTGCTGCTGTTTAACCCTGTTACGAAATGCCCGCTACACGTGCACGCCTACAGGTAAATGAAAGCCATTTAGAGCGCAGTTTTTTTAACTAAATATTTTAATCTTTAGTGAGAATTAAAGAAAGTTAAAGAAGATCAGGAAAACATTACTTTCTACCATATTATTTTCTTTCCTGGGCTCCAGTCACAGTGTGAAAACAAAAATAACAAAAAAATGTTTGTGTATCGTCTATTTTGTTACGTTTCGGCGAGACAACAGCGCCATCATCAGATTTTAAAATTCATTCAAACTCATAATTGGTAAACATTATATTCATTTAGGTCTTTGCTG